GGAATGGAATCTTGCATGGCCGTTATTAGATTTTTCATAATACTTTGTTTGGCTAGCAGACAAATAATTATTCCCCCTATTATCAACCAGCAATTAACTGCTTGCTCTTGTCATTCGCCAAAAGTGCCTCAATTTTTTACTTTTTCCTTTTTGATCTTAGCCACTTTCATTTCTTCAATCGTTCCTAACTTTTCGTGGTCGTCTTTTGTTTCAACATTGGTTATATATTCTGGAATCTTGGCGGCAACCCCGTCCAATTTTTTAGCCACTGCAGGTATTTGAGCCACAAAACTACCCACCAAAAAAAATCCGGCTACTGCCAATATTATTTTTCTGGTCCTATTAAGGCGAGGTGGGGAGGACTCCTTACTTAAATTGTCTGAAACAGAGGTGGGTGCTTGCCGGTGGCGACTACAATACCAGATATTAAAGAGAATAATAATTGAAACGAAAAGGGCTAATGAGGCCACACGAAAGCCAATTCCGGTCAGGCCAGTATAATTAATTTTTCCCTTGACCTCACTAAAGCATGGATTAAAATGAGTAGTAATTCTTTCGGTCGAGACTAAGCCTAGCAACCCGGCCACCGAACCACCATAAAGACAAAGGACAGAGGAAAAAAAATCAAATCCCATGGCTAGTAGGAGCGGAATAACTAAGGGATAGAAGTGAGTTAATTCGTCAAATCAGGACAAATTAGAACTTAGCAGAGCCGCACAAATAGTAATTAAACCAATAGCAAAATATTTTTTTTTCTGCAATCATTTCCGCTTGGAAGCAAAAAGGGCTTGAAAGGCCTGACTTTGTAAAATAGCGTGTAAAAAAAAGGCGAACGCAAAAATTGATAATCCTTGACCTGTAAACTTTTCCCCAGCCGTCTTCAGAAAATAAGGAAAAATATCGGTTATTCCTGATTTAGTTTTTGCTAAACTGGGAATTCAAGTTAAAAATACGGTTAAAATACTGATTGCAAAAGTTAACAAAAAAAACATAAAAATTTGTAAAGTTGATTAAAAATAGTTTGATGCGAATATTTGTTGCAAAAGATTTTGTATTTTCCGCCACTTCCAAGTGGCTTGATTAAAGAATAATTTTTTTTGATTTGGATAAATATTTCCTGAAAATTCATATTTTATTAATATTATTTTATACTTATTAGTGTTATACCCCAAATAAAATAATAAATATGCCTCAACCTCGTTTTTTTACCGGTATTCAAGCCAGCGGCACCCTTACTTTAGGGCATTATTTAGGGGTAATTCGTCATATTTTAGAAATACAAGAGGAATATGAGATCATTATCATGATCTGTGATTTACATGCCTTAACCATCCCCAAGCCCAACTTTAACTATCGGGAAATCGGTCATGAAATCGCTTCTTTATTATACGCTTGTGATCTAAAAGAGGAAAATTGTAAAATATTCATTCAATCGGAGATAAAAGAGCATGTTGAACTGGCTTATTTGCTTTCTCCACATATTACTGTTAGTGCTTTATCTAATATGATTCAATATAAAGAGAAAAAAAAAGAGAAAGAATCTGGCAATTTGGCGTTGTTGTCTTATCCGGTTTTAATGGCGGCAGATATTTTTCTCTACGATGCGGACTTGGTTATTGTCGGCCAGGACCAAACCCAACATCTCGAATTAGCCACTAATATCGCCCAGAAATTCAATAATTTTTACAACAAAAATCTGCTAAAAATTCCGCAATTTACTATACCTCATTTGGGGGCTAAAATAATGGGTCTAAAAAACCCGCAAAAAAAAATGTCAAAAAGCGAGAATGATTTTCTGGCCTTATTAGACAACCCGCAAGTCGTTGCCAAAAAAATTAA